AAACCATAGTAAACTTCCCTACCCCCCCCCCCCCCCCCCCAAACAAAAAAAAATCAACCATTTCTTAGCAGCATTTTAATGTTGCATCTCAATTTTAGTCGAAGACATTTCTAATCATTTTAGTTTTCCTTCAGCAAAACCCAATAACCTAAATGTAACTAACAAAACGGTCAAATTTCACGTACATCGCAATCAGATCAATCGCAACCAAATAGGACCCAAATTTTAGTAAAATGGGAATTCATCAACAGGTTTTCATTTATAACTATTGATAACAATAACGTTACGAACTTCTAAAGGCACTATAAATAGGGACATGAAAAAATGGACCTGTGAAGGAGGAGGACGAACAGAGAAGCCAAGTTCAGAAGCAATAGAGAGTGCATCCGACATCCCACCAATTCGTCTCATTGGTTTTCTTCCAATCATCTGCATTTTGCGCTCTCTCTTTCTTCTTTCTCTCTCTATAACGACTACTACAAATTTTGAACTTCACTTCTTTGGATTTGGCCACTAAACTAACAAAATGACCCGGCCCAGTTTAAGCGAGATAGGGGTAGAAATGACATAAGTACAATTCTAAAGTAATGCTATTTAGAAATTAGCCAGTGTATTGTGTATTTTAGTGGGCGTTTGGACATAAGAATTATAAAATTCCCAAAAAAAGTGAAGAAAAAAAATTTCAAGTGAAAATGGTATTTGAAAATTAGAGTTGTGTTTGGACATGAATATAATTTTGGGTTGTTTTTGAAGTTTTGTGAATGATCTGAGTGAAAATTTTGAAAAATACACTTTTTGGAGTTTTTCAAATTTTCGAAAAATTTCAAAATGCATCTTCAAGTGAAAATTGGAAATTTTATGAACAAACGCTGATTTCGGAAAAAAAGTGAAAAAATTTCCAAAAAAGGGAAAAAAATTTATGTCCAAGCGGGCTCTTAGTTTTCTTGTTTAGTTTTCAGGACACAAAGTCCTGAAGTTAAGATCATTAATTCAAATTTTTAGGACAGTTAATCCCTAAATAGCAGTCCTAAACATGGCTATTTGTGTACTTTCCCCGAGATAGGGATATGTTGGACTCGGGTTGAGCTCGTTAAGCAGTTGAACTAGGGGCATTTGCATCTATACCCAGTTTTTGGGTCACAATTTAACTTATACCCGCTTTGCAAAAAAAAAAATTGCAAGCGTACCCACTTTTCAGGTAACTTCAGACATACGCGGCCTGAAGTAGCAAGAATTTATGTCTGAAGTTTGAACTTCAGAATTTTTCGCCTGAAGTGTGACCTTATCAAAGTAAAACTTAAGATATTTTCGTCTAAAGTTTGGCCTGACTTGCAAAAGCAATCAAAAACTTCAATTCATAAGCAAGGGCAAACTTCAGTTCAATTGTGTATGTCTAAAGTTTGAACTTCAAAATTTTTTGCCTGAAGTATAGCCTTATCAAAACAAAACTTCAGATATTTTTGTATGAAGTTTGGCTTGACTTGCAAAGGCAATCACGCAAACTTCAGTTCATAAGCAAGGGCAAACTTCAGTTCAATTGTGTACTTTAGATATTTTTCTATGAACTTCAGCCATTTCGATATAAACTTCAGATATTTTGACATAAACTTCAGACATTTGGTTATGAACTTCAGATATTTGGATAAGATTGTCAAACATATGGGTTATATACTTCAGATACTAAAGTATAAACTTCAAACATTTGAGTCTGAAGTTAGACGCTGCTATTGGCGAACTTCAGATGCCCAAGTCTGAGGTTTTATTTAATAATTCCAGTCCGGCGAGTGTGGGGGCAGAAGAGAAAGGCAAGACTACCAATGAAACCATGTATTACCAAGAAACGCAAATTTGGAGAGCAAAGATGACGGTTTTATTTCATGCATTAGCCATGAACTAAGAGATACAGTTCAGCGTGAACTCTGAAGATCCTAAACTGGAGAACTTATCAGAAAAAAGAGGAGGAAGAAGGGAAGGCATAGGTCAGGAGAAAGAAGATGAGGCGTTTGAAGTTGTTAAACTTAGGGTATAGATTAAATAGTTTTAAAAATATGAGTATAAATTAAATAGGGGCGATCAAATAGAGCGTCCCGTGCAATTTTTACGTTGAACTGGACTGAGACCACGATCCACGTTTCCAAACTTTAGTGGGCGAATTTGGGCCCAAGTCAGCCCACCTGCGAGGCCTACTTTCACCTATTTTGCTGCTGTTCCCCATTTGCACTATCCCTTTCACCTTTAAATTTTCTTCTTTCACTTATACATAGTTGTTTACCGGTAAAACGGTACAATTGAATTTATAACATGATGTATAGATACGCGAATTAAATGATCCGTGAAAATAATATAATGAATAACAAAAGGGAATAAAATAAGAACAATTGAAGAAAAGACAAGCTTAGGCATTAGAATGTTCCTACCGGGATCAAGAATAAATAAAAAATCTCGACAACACTTGTATAAAGCTTGAGAGAAAGAATATTAGTCTTTTGTTATCAGTCTTTCTTGATGTCTTACAATAGAATGAAAGCGTCTATTTGTACTAGAACTATGAGGTGTATAATGAATCAATTATGCCCCATTAATTACCGATACTAATGCTACAATAAAAGGTAATAAAAAGGTGTTAAAGAATAATAAAGCCTAATAAAGACTAATAAACACATGAGGAATCTTGGGGTCTTCTGTAACGTTTCTGTAAAGGTCATATCTTGAATTGTTTCTTATCCGATCACAGGTTTGTATCTGGTGTGAATATGGTTGAATCACTGTTGATTGGTCATCATTGATACGTGTTGCATCCTGATTCACCCATCTTCTGAGATTGGTTTTTACCGTATATAATAGTAGAGCATGCGCAAGCCCTGATTATGTAATTTATGTTGATATCCAAACAGAGGTAGATTTAGGATTTGAAGTTTAGGAGTTTTGTGCCAACCTTAACTTAATATAAATTAATAATTGGGTCCACGGTCAAATATTTATAAATTATTTTTAAATACATATATAGAGCACCACCTTTATCTTGTATATCTCTGGTAAAATTTCAAAGAATAAAAGTAGATTTTGTTAAGAGTTTTTACATCTTTTGCTAACTTATTTGAACATGTTCTTTTCTTGACCATATGCTTTTGAAATCAAAAGAATAAAAAATTATACCTAGTCTGTCAAAAAAGGCCATGTCTTACCGTTTTTTGTTGACCAAATTAAAAGGTCATGGGGATTGCTGTGAGAACGTGTCTGCTCCTTTCCTTTTTCTTTTTCGAGTTTGAACGTCAAAAGATTATTCTTTCCTTGGGATAAATTCAAAAATAGACAAATTTATAAGTGGTCGTTCAAAAATAGTCCAATTTCAAAAGTAATCGAAATTTAGCCACTTTTCATATAAAGATAAATCTGAGCGAAAACATTGTTCAAAACCCAGAAAAGATGCCAGTATATTATGCTGGAGTTCCAGCATAAGTATCCTTGAACTCCAGCATATTATGCTGGAGTTTCAGGCTAAGTATGCTGGAACTCCAGCATAAGTACACTAGAACTCCAGCATAATATACTGGAGTTCCAGCAAAGAATACCGGTCCAGTATAATATGCTGGAAGTTCATACACAAGTGCTCGAATCTCTAGTATATTATGCTGGAACTTTCTGTGTGTTGGAATTCCAGCATAATATGCTGGAAGTTCATACATAGGTGCACCGAACTCCAGTATATTATGCTGGTCCGGTCTCTGTTGCAGCAAGATAGTGGCTGTATTTCATTGACTTGGTAAACGCTGGCTACTTTTGAATGACCAGTCTGAAAACTGGCTAGACCGTGCTATTTGTACTCTTTCCTTGTGTTTGGACCTCAATTTATCACTTTTGGGTTTTCATATGGTGTCTGTTACTCGCACTAGAATCTCAATTAATTTGGATTCGCACTACGTAAAGACCCATTAAAGAAGAGGTGCTTCCTACTAGAATATATATATATATATATATATATATATATATATATATATATATATATATATATA